ATCCAGGCGTTGTTCGTGCCCAAGGTTGAGTAGCTGCGTCACAGACAGAAGGTCTGGAAAGGTGTCAGTATGGGCAGCCTCTTCCACGGGGTAGCGTGATAAGCAATCAGCATCTTGGTGTGAGCGCCCTGTTTTGTACGTTACGGTGAACGTGTATTCTTGTAATCGTAGGGACCAACGAGCGAGGCGTCCTGTGGGATCCTTGAGTGAGGCCAGCCAGCAGAGTGCGTGATGGTCGGTGACTACCCGGAATGGACGCCCGTATAAGTATGGGCGAAACTTGGCGACTGCCCACACGAGAGCGAGACACTCACGTTCCGTGATTGAATAGTTGCGCTCGGCTGTAGATAGTAGGCGGCTTGCATATGCTATAACACGGTCATGTCCGCGTTGACGTTGCATTAGCATTGCCCCGATGCCATGCCCACTAGCGTCAGTGCGAACCTCGGTTGGAGCTGATGGATCAAAATGGGCTAAAATCGGCGGTGTTGTAAGGAGCGTCGTGAGCTGGGAAAAAGATGAGGCTTGATCAGCACCCCAGAAAAACGGGGTGTCCTTCTTCAGGAGGTTTGTGAGTGGGCGTGCAATGATGGCGAAATCCTTAACAAACCGTCTAAAGTAGGAGCACAAGCCCACAAAACTGCGAACGTCCTTTGTTGACTTCGGAACAGGAAAGTCCGTGACGGCGCGAATTTTCTCGGGATCCGGGCGGACTCCTGCGGCATCGACGATGTGGCCAAGTACGGTTATTTGACGACGAGCAAAGTGGCATTTCGACGAGTTCAGTTGGAGTCCGGCTCGACGAAAAACTTCAAGAATCGCCGATAAACGCTTGAGATGGGAGTCGAATGTGGGCGAGAAAACGATAACGTCGTCTAAATAACATAAGCAGGTTGACCATTTAAACCCTTGGAGCAACGAGTCCATCATTCTTTCGAATGTGGCCGGCGCATTACAGAGACCAAAGGGCATAACTTTGAAGTGATAAAGCCCGTCAGGAGTGACGAATGCGGTCTTCTCACGGTCCATCTCATCCACAGCGATCTGCCAATAGCCAGATCGAAGGTCGATAGTGGAAAAATACTTAGCACCGTAAAGGCAGTCTAAGGCATCGTCAATTCTAGGCAACGGATAAACATCTTTCTTCGTAATTTTGTTGAGATGCCTATAATCTACACAAAAGCGCCATGTTCCATCCTTCTTTCTAATCAGGACGACAGGGGAAGCCCAGGGGCTACAAGAGGGTTCGATTATGTCCTTTGCAAGCATCTTTTCGACTTCCTGTTGTATGACTGTGCGCTCGGACGCGGAAACACGGTATGGACGTCGGTGAATGGGACTCGCGTCACCGGTATTGATGCGATGAGTAACAACACTCGTTCGGCTTAAAGCCGTGCTGGCGAAGTCGAAAATGTCACTATAGGACTCCAGGACGTGACGAAGGGCTTCGGCTTGATTAGGAGCGAGGTCTGATGGTACCATGTGGTCAACGTCGACGCCCGATGAACGTGTTAGAGTTGGTTCATTGTCTGAGGTGCAGCAATCATCCACTCTGAAGGGTTCAACCGTATGGTCTTGTAGAGCAGTAATTTCGGCCAGGGAGATACCTTGTGGAAGAATTTGGGCAGTGAGGGCAAAATTGACAATAGGAAGGCATGTGCGGTTTCCAACGATTGTCAAAATGGTGTGCGGAACAGCGACGCCATGCGTAAGCATCACGGCATGAATTGGTGCCACCATGTAATCGCCGTCAGGTACAGGTGGTGTAGAGAAGAGGTCGATATGTGTGACACAGTTAGGCGGAAGGCGTGCGAAATCAATGCAGCAAAGGCGACTTTGAGGTGGGTTGGTCAGATCAGCAAGTAGAGGCAATTCAAGGTCAAGACAGCCGGCTGAACAATCTATACGGGCCGAGTGAGCGATTAGAAAATCCATGCCTAGAATTACTTCATGAGGGCAATTTTCTATAACGGTGAAAAGAACAGCAGTGCTTCTATCGGCGATAGTCACACGGGCAGAGCACATGCCAATAATCGCGGCAGTTCCCCCGTCGGCGACTCGAACGGCTCGGTTCAAGGCGGGTGTGACAACTTTCTTTAGGCGGCGACGAAGAGCAGCACTCATTATGGACACATGCGCGCCGGTATCGATCAATGCGCGCACAGGTACATTGTCTAATGTAACGTTCAACAGATTCCGGGTCGTCGGTAATATTACACGAGGATTTCTTGCAGAGGTCGTCGTCAATGCAGCTTCACCTCCAGAAGCTGCACTGCCTAGTTTTCCGGTCGGGGGCGCTGCGAATAGGTCGGAGATGCAAAACGGCGTTGTGGGGGCGAACGAGATTGACGGCGAGCAGGGGATGGTGAGCGGGCGTAGCGAGGTCTCGTCAGAGGTGCGGGAGAATCAGAAGATGTGGTCGGCATAGGGGAACCAAAATCAAATGTTGAGGACGACTGGTGGTCAGAAGTGGCTTGGGTAGGAGGCCCATAGCGTGCCGGCGGAGCCCAGTGATTGCGGCAGTGGCGAGCAATATGACCGACACGTCGGCAGTTGAAGCAGATGGGCTTGTCGTCCGGTGTACGCCATTCGGACAAATTGCGCTGTCGAGAGTAGTTGGACCCAAATCGAGGAGCGGATGGACGACGATAAAAAGGCTCGGCAGAGTAGACTGGTTGAATGGGGTGTAGGCCGACGTTCGATAATTCTTGACGAACGACGGCTTGTATCAGTGAGATCGTGGTCGGTGAAGGATCAGGCGTTGGAAATAGAGTAGCTACTGGTTGGGCTGCCTCGACCTCACGACGAATGATGCGGGTGAGGTTGTCACATCGGGGAACTGGGTGGACGGAGTCATCACAAGAGGAAGTAGCAGCTGTGTTCGGCAGGCGCGTGATGCCGTGGGTGACGCGGCGGGCTTTAGCCTGTTCTAGACGGCGGCACTCTGTCAGGATCGTGTCGATTCTCGTGACATTATTAAAAACCAGCAGGTTGAAGGCATCGTCAGCAATCCCTTTGAGGACATGGTTAACTTTTTCTTCTTCTGACATGCGCTGGTCGACCTTGCTACAAAGCGCCAAGACGTCAAGAATGTATGAGACGTACGATTCAGTAGACGTCTGGGCGCGAGTGGCGAGAGTATTCTTGGCAGCGAGCTGACGACCAGATGAATCGCCGAAAAGATCACGGATCTTCGATTTGAAAAGATCCCAGCTTGTGATTTCGGCTTCGTTGGTTTCGAACCATGTCCGCGGCGTGCCGTCGAGGTAGAACACAACATTGGCGAGCATGAGCGTGGGATCCCAGCGGTAGGTAGCACTGACTCGCTCGTACCGGTGCAGCCAGGAGTCAACGTCGATGGTGCCGTCAGCGGAGAAAGTTCCAGGATCCCGCAGGGGTGGCAGAGTGACGTAGGTTGTCGACTCGGATCGAGAGACGGGTGGGGATGAGGCATTGGCAGTTGAAGTAGCCGAAGAGTCCCCGGTGTTGCGACCGCTGCGCGTCTCCATCGAGGTACGGGAGTCGTCCACCTCCACCAATAATGTTACGGGTAACTTATTTAATAAATTAAATACGAAGCACTGTGCTCGGCGAACAAGATGGCGACAGTTCATAAACAACCAGCCACCAACGTCGTCTTTCTCTTTCTTCCAGACAGGCTGTGCCGGCTGTTGCGTATCAGTATCTATCTAGCTGCCTGCGTCTGGGTGCTGTCGATCACCTCCCTAACTTGGGGTCGACAGAAATTAGTGTGGGAGGGTAAGAGAGTTTGGCATTCGAATACATTCGGCTGGTCATAATAAATGAATAACGTTAAAATTCCGACATGTACATTGTCTCAAACCGTGTCCACCCTGCATGGGTCGTGGGATGCGGGTATGCACGTCATGTGATTCACAGTTTATATCTGCTCAGGAACAGCGAGAATAGACATTGGTAATTTAAATGTGGGGTGTAAGAAAAACTGTCATTGGCAGTGTTGACTTGACGAATTCAAAGAATGATTACATCATGATCCCAGGAGGAATTGAACCCAAGGATTCTGTGCGGCAATCAGGTACTCTACCACAGAGCCAGACCAGGTCTCAAAACTGCTCTGGAAAAGGACCCTATGCAGGAGTGATGTTGGTGAAACGCCAAGTGTGGTTGCAGTGCTTGCTATCTAATTTTATAATCATTACATATGTACTCCAATGATGCAGGTGTCATGTTGCCTTAACATCAGTTTTTTATTTTTAAGCGCCATCTCCGGTTGTCGGTCTACGTAGCACTAGCCAGCGCTACCATTCTTGCAAGCACAGTTGCTACATATCAGCTCACCTTGTTTGATGTCGGTACTACCGATGTTGCTGTTGGCATTGTTACACAACTGTGAGCAACTGGTTGTATAAAACATGTGACTGTTCAACACCTATCTGTTTGTGCATAGCTATAGCATCATTTTTTAATGTTTCCCTCCATAACAAAAAAAATTACACAACAGCGACATTATCTCTGCATGCTTCGCATGACATCCATTCCTATGATATGTCAGATCTGCCTTTTTTTTATTGTCCATTGCAACACATATGCAGAGCTTCGAATGGGTGAATAATGTTTGCCAGGGACTGCTTGTTCGCTCCTAAAAGCAGCACATTTACAGTTATTTTGCATACACTTGTTCATTACTTTCATAGTTATCTTTTTGCAAGTATTAGTGTGTACGTTCATGCCGGTCTCTGGTGTTGCAAGGTGCGTTCGTTTCATAGGCAGTTGGTATTGATACAGCTCATTGAACAGTGTATGTGGCATCTGGAGATTGATGCTAATGCTTTTATTTAACACACTCGAGCAAGCCACTTTTAAGAAGAACGGCTGTTTGGGCTAGTGACTTGAATTCTGTGTTCGTAAGGGTTGCGGCACAAGCACGAAAATGCTTGAAGAAGTGCTTACGAAAGGCTTCAAAGCACTTCGTTTAAGAGACCATTCAATTGACATTTGTTTTCATCTCTATTTTTTAGGAAACAGAAAGTACTTCCGGTATCATAAAAGCAAAACCTCGTCGAAAAGGTGCAACAGCAATGAGAAAGTCAGGAACATCAAAAAACTACACTAAATCAAAGGCTGATGAAAGTGTTTCTGGTGCAACGACCAGTCAGTCTACTTCATCAAAGAATGTCAGCCAGAAAGGAAACAGCGCTGTTAACAGTGACAAGGTATGGTTCTATCATTTAGCTTTGTGAAGATAAACTTATTTTTTCCTCTGTTTCGTTCATTTATGTTTGTGTCTTTTAATATATTTGCATTATTAAGGCTTCCAGCTGCATTTTTGTATAGTCTTTCCGAAGAAGCAGTGTGATGGAAGGCCTTTTGTTATCTGACGGGGTTGTGAGTTAGCAGGAAGGGGCCAGTGTGACCCTCCAAATGCACTTTTTATTGTAATTAGTAAACTGATTTAATTAGACAACCATGTAATTTACATCGGTTCGTATCTATCTTGTTTAGAAGGGAAAAACTCTGGCTTCTGTGGCTTCAAAGGAGAAATCTGGAACCAAAGGAGGTAGTGCAAAGAGGAAGAAGCCTTTGGCAGCAGCCAAGATGACTCGTAGGGCATCCTCATCACACCATGTCAGCACTGTGATAAAGCCACATTTGCAAGGCATTAGCGAAAAGCTGTCGCAACCTGTCAAGACCTTCCGAAGTGGAAAAGTGCAGGTCCGCCATTTATGTTCATAAGCCTGTTTCCTCTTTTTTTTTCCTTATTTTAATTAACATTTCTTATTTAGTACGTGTTTCAGCCTAAATGTTTACATGCCTGCGTGCTGCTTGTCAATACTTTGCCAACGGGAGTTAGTAAAAAGAGAAATGATGCATTATGTGATGTGAAAAGTTAGCGAAATTATGTGACAGGATTGTCCCCAAGGAAAGAATTTGCAGTTATGCTGTGAGAGCTGCAGCAACACTATAGGTAGTGTGTGTGTTTTTGTATGTGGATGCACATGTATATGATGTGCGTGCATTGTGTTTGTGTGTGTAGGAGGGAGAGAGAGCGAGTGAGACTAAGAATTCTGGCAAGGGGATCGTGTTTCTTCTGCATTCTTGACATTTTTTAAGTGCACCTTGCATTTCTTTCAGCGCAGTGTACTATATCTCATTGCAATCAGGGAGCTATAGGAGGGACACGGCATGTTGGTCACGCAGCGAAATTTTGACCTTCTTTTCATCGACGCGTCTTTTTATACCAGCGTTATGACGTATGCATTCTAGGCACATCCTGTCATTAATAAACAAAGCAGAGAATTTATGCCTTGGCACTTGCTCTAGGTGTCTATCGGCTTCGCAAACATTCATTCATTGGTAGTTTATGGTGTGTGTTATAGTATCAAAGGTGGACAGAGATGCATACTGTGACTTGACGTGGCATATCCTCAGTGTAAGTGCATGTTTTGTTAAACGGCTTGGCTAAACCATTCTGCATCAACAGAAGCTGCAAAGCACATCTTCAGTTTAACATATTCGTATTGTATAGGCAGAGTTGATGATGTGTGAATAATATTGACAGGAGACTCCTATGGCTCCTGTAGGCGCCACATTTAGAGTTACTTTTAACAGGATTTTTCTTTCTACTTTTTTGCCCAATATGATGGTGCGCATTTATGGAAGTCTCGGTGTGACATGTATGTTCACATGTTATGCACTTTTCTTAAGATAAAGGTCAGCTGTTAGAACTTTTATTTAAGGCAGTCATGTAAACTACTTCAATTAAACTATTTAATTAAGATTTATGTGCATCTCTTCTATTTAGCTCCAACGCCCCATTAAGATGAATGCACAGGATCATCCACAGGAAAAAATGAAAGATAAGAAACCTGTAAAGATAGCTGCTACACAGAGCTCATCAGGCACTGAGACAGAAAAGGTATGTGCCTGCCTCTTTGATTCATTGAGATGAACATTTATTTTATCATTATCTTTTTTTCCTCTCATGTGATGTTTTGTTTTTTAATGCCTGTGGGACAGTTAGTTTCCAGCTACATTTTTATGCATATGTGGGATTTTGCATTTGCTCTTGTGCCTGGAGAGAGTATAAAGGAAATAAAAAATAAAAATCATTTTGTTACGTCTTGCACTGATGAACTGGTAGAGAGGAACCAGTACATACCTGAAGTATGCTTAATAGCATAACGTTTTCGGCAAATTGGTATGTCATACTGTAGTTTTATAGTGTACAAAAGAACACAGAAAGGGAAAGATGTGACGCATACTGGCGATACTGTTACAGAAATAGGGAGACATGTATATAGGCAACATTGCTTTTCAACCATCATGACTGTATGCACTTTGCAAATTCACCCATCTTTATGTGGATAGGCGAACTCGTTACAGGAGAAAGCAATCGACGCTTTATAAATATAGTTAACTGCTAGCTTATCAGTCATTTCAGCCTCGATTACTTTGTGGGTCAGCTGACCTCTACTGGTACTGACAATTTAAGTTACGAAAAATGGCGTCAGCAAGGTATGAACATCGTCACTTGCACCTTCATTACTGCAATTCCTGCAATGGGCTTCGAGGAATCTACCCCTGTTTTCCTTCTTGTTGTAGTGGTGTTTCTTTGAAGGGGTCCTGTAACACTTCTTGAGCATGGTCAGAAAAGGCTGCCGATTGGTAGCAGAGGCTCCCAATAACACGCGAGCCATATGATATAGCACCGTATGTGGCTTGGAATTCAAAATGAATTCTCAGTCAGTTAACGATTACTTTCTCTTCTCCTGAAAAATGATGGAAGAAGCTAGAAAAATTACTTGTCACAAGCGTTGAATTATCTATTGCCTGATTTAAGCATGGTGCAGTAAGTTGTGACAAAGATTTCCGCCAGAAGCCGCGACTTGTCCATGTGTGCGCGCGCGGTCTCACTGAAAAACCATATATTCAAAGAAAAAAAGAGAGAGGGAGAAAAATTTTGCCCAAGGTCACGAGGTGCATATGCTTTGGCCGTGCCATTCCTCCCTGCTTAGCTTCCAGCGCTTTTGTCAGGACGAGGGAAGAGAAAATGCAATTTCAGCGTGCAACAATATGAGTAACTCCACTCGTACAGGATGGATTCTAAAAATTTTTGGGGCGGTGCATTCGTCAGGCAATAAGTTCCTTTAGTGAATACACTCCTTGGCTACTTGCTGAGCCTCTTTAATTAAACATTCCTTTGCACACTATCCACTCTAAGCCACACAATTCTTGCCAAATGTCAATGGAAGCTTTACACAACCGCATTATTGCACTCTAAAAAGCTATTCTAAACTTTTTTAAATGCAAAGCATTTCTTAGCGAACTTCGGCGACTTTGAGCGTATCTATCTATATATCTATCTGTCTGTCTGTCTGTCTGTCTGTCTGTCTGTCTGTCTGTCTGTCCGTCCGTCCATCCGTCCGTCCATCTGTCTGTCTGACCAGTATCTGACCAGTCTCTCTGACCTGTCTGTCTGTCTGTCTGTCTGTCTGTCTGTCTATCTATCTATCTATCTATCTATCTAGCTATCTATCTATCTATCTATCTGTCTGTCTGTTTGTGATTCTACGTCTGTCTGTCTGTTTGTGATTCTACGTCCGTCCGTCCGTCCGTCCGTCCGTCTATCTATCTATATATCTATCTATCTATCTATCTATCTATCTATCTATCTATCTATCTATCTATCTATCTATCTATCTATCTATCCATCCATCTATCCATCCATCCATCCATCCATCCATCCATCCATCCATCCATCCATCCATCCATCCATCCATCCATCCATCCATCCATCCATCCATCCGCCCGCCCGCCCGCCCGCCCGCCCGCCCGCCTACAACTTTTAGCTCTCCTGGCCGTTTCGATAATGGTATTGATGATACTAAACTTGGTATGTCTAACATGACTACGAAGAACATATTTGACTAGTCATAACTTGAAAAACTTGACATCTATGTCATGAATGTCATGATTTACATTTTATTGGTCCTGCAGCTCTTGCAGTGGTTTTGTTCACATGGCATGTTGCAAAACTGCTACGGTAGGGCATGATTGCATGGCGAACACAAGCGAGAGACTTTAACATGACATGCGTGTCAGGTAACAACATGACTACATGCCATGCTCATGATGCGCTCGCAGCCGTTTCGCTAGTGTCACATATACCAAATTTGGTATAACGGTACGTGAATGGATGACGAAGCTATGTGACTGGTGTAAACATGATAAACATGAGATGTGTGTCATGTAACAACATGACTACATGCTACGCTCATGATGCGCTTGCGGCCGTTTCGATAGCTTCACATGTACCGAACTCGGTATTATGCGACACGAACGGATTACATAGGTAAATGACACGTCCAAACATGATAATCATGACATGCGTGTCATGTGACAACATGACTACATATGCCACACTGATGATGCGCTCGCAGCCGTTTGGCTATCTTCACATATGCCACAATAGGTATTACGTGACGCCAACGGATGACGATGGTATGTGACTGGTGCTAACATGATATTCATGATATGAATTTCATGTGAGAATATGACTACATGCCACAGCCAAGGTGCCAATACTTTTCGACGTGACGTTGTGCGCGCGTGTTCGCCGGCGTTCATTTTGTCGCGTCGCGCCGGCGTTGCCCACGCCATGTGCCGGTCCTGCCTTATACTCGCAGATGCGCGCCGCGCTGTGTTGCTTTGACGCATGCGCGTTTCTGCGCGTCCGGCGTCCCTCCGTCACGAAAAGAGGGAAACACAGCGTTGTCTAAGTAACGCATGGGCGCGAAATGCAGCATGTCGCCTTTCCCGGCGTGCACGTGTGTAAACACTACAATGTAGTATATTGGGTTCTTCATGATGCGCTTGTGGCCATTGTGCTAGCTCCATATATACCGAATTTGGTGTTACGTGACGTCAATGGATGACAAAATATATGACTAGTGCAAACATGATAATCCTGCCATGCATGTTATGTAAGAACAGGACAACATTCCGCACTCATAGCGTGTTTGTGTCCATTTCCCTAGCTCAACATATACTAAATTTGGTATCACGTGATGTGAATAGATGAGGAAGCTAAACGACACATCCAAACATGATAATCATGGCACGTAAGTCATGTACGGCATCAATTACCTCCACCTCGTAACGTTGTGCTGATTTTAAAGTGACATATCAACATTTCTCATTCATGCTTCGCATAAGATTGATTTCCACTGTATGTGGGATCTGCGAATTTTTTTTTAATCTTCATTTTGCATTCCTGCATCTCTGAAGAGGCAGCTCTAGTTAGTCTACAGAAACTGTGCAATTTTGTGGGAGCAGAAAACGCTACTTTTGCATTCGCGCGTAGTGCCTGTGTATGTGTCACGTCTTTCTCTGGCTTTGTTTTTTCAGTATATGAAACTATAGGCTGAAATAATCATTTTCATTTGTATCCACCACAGGGGTCTAGTGGTTATAGTACTCTACTGCTCGCCCGCACGTCACAGGATTGTATCCCAGCCACGGGGCTCATATTTTTGATGGAAGTGAAAATCCTTGAGGCTTGTATGCAGATACATATTAACACTTTTGTAACGTCAGGAGTGATTTATGTTTCCAATAGTATTAATTTCAAGCAACTGATTTGTTTTTGAATGTTATCGAAAAATTGTCAAAACGAAAAATGCAACAAAATGAAGAAAAAAAGTTACAACAATAATGCAACATTATACAGCGTAAACATTAAAAAATATCTAAATATACATATTCAGCAGATAGTCCTTGTAGAATAATACTGAAACTGTAACGTCTTAAAGTGGAAAAGTTATTTATATAGTACATCAAAATATATAATGGTATACATACATGGATAAGTTTTAGGATTGTTTATAAAGTTGGATAGGCGCACTGATTATGTTGTTATTTCACTGAGTATTATGCAAGTTTTAGCACTTGGGTTGTTCTACCAGTCGTAAACTTCTGTTTCTGCTACTAGGTTTACGTCTGTTTTTATCTTTTCTAACCGTTTCAGCCGACTCATTTTAAGGCAAAGCCTGCACCAGACAGGAGCCGTGTCTTCCGTCTGCGAAACATGTCGGCACCAGTAACCAAGCCAAAGCCCTTTAGGCTCGCATCCCTCGAGAGACACCAGGAGTCTATGCTGGAATTTCAGAAGAAGGTACCTGGCATTTCGGCTATGCAAACAAGTGGTCTTTTTCGAATAGCGTACGAATGGCGAAATTTTAGGCGAATATGCCCGGCATTTCGGCTGAGCAGCCGAGCCCTCCTTTTATATAGCAAACGTTCGAATACATTAACATTGCTACATCCACTATTCATCGAAGCTACACAATGTTGTCGCATTTTTCGCGTCGCTGCACTTTTCTTATGCATTCAGTTGCACAAATTTTTCAGGCACCAAGAGCACCATGAAAATGTCAGTGTGATTGGGCTGTTCGCAAATATAGAACTTGGCTTAAATATGCCATTTCAGTCTTTTTATTATGAAAGCAATGCAGATTACTTGTTAGAAGGCCCATCCTTATTCTGAATTTCATAATAATACATGTTGTACTCAATTTGATAGCTTAGTGGCTGTAGCATTAGACTGCTAAGAATGAGAAAGATTAAATTAGGGCAAAGTGCGAAAAATTTCAGGTTAAGTAGGTTTAAATGCATATTTATGAATGCCAGGAGGCCAAAATAATTTGAAATTTCTAGCAGTATTCCACTCTCAGCAAACCTACGGGCACGCAGCATCGTTAGTTTATCTAGTCAGTTGCATCTTGCGAGGGTCCTCACCTAAAAAATATACCTTACACCATGACCTTAATTTTCGTGTTTCCACCCGTAAGTACAAGTTGAACAAGGTTAGCCAAAGTGCTAAGCTAAAACTTATCTTTCTATCGGCGATGCTCGCTGTGCCATTTGTGCCAAACTGTGTCTAAACGTGAACCCTGCTACATCCTGGTACATTCGTCCAACATATCACAAATCTGTGGCCATCCAATGTCAAAAAATATGCCCCGGATTTCATAAACAGCACTGTGCCTCTTAGTACTTCTTGTATCATAAGGGGTGACGTAAGATATGCCGTGGACGCAAGTGGCGAAGCGATTAAAATTAGACCTATTGAAATTTTTAAAACCACATGGTCATGGTGCTTTCAGTGAACAGCGCATCAGCTAAAGGTGTTGCCTAGATTTAATTCCTGAACTGTTAAATATGGAAAACAAGTGGTATTAAAAACTATGCTGTTTCAGTGCGAGGCTTCTAAATTTTATATCAGCTAATTCTTCTAACTGTCCACTGTGTTAATACTGGGTCTGCGAAACATTTCCTCACTATGTGCTAAGCTCAGTTGTTCTTTACCATTTTACAGAAGGAGCGCATTGAGGCTGAAAGGCTTCAGAAAATAAAATTTGTTGCTCGACCTGTTCCCCGATCTATCAGAGGTAAGTACGCGGGCAAAAGCTTTTGGGGAGATGGTGCACAAATTTTGGCAGCTGCACATTCACTTTGTTTACGGTTTGGTTGCTGTATGCTTTGAAGTGCACTTACTGCAAGGAGTGAAGACTCTATTGAAATACACAATGTGCTAGGGAGGAGGCCTTTTGAAAAGGCCCTGCTACACTTTTTCAAATAATCATTGAATGACTTCTTTAAAGGAGGTCATCGCCTCATGAATCCACTACCACAAAATTTTAGAATTCATCAAGTACGAGCAGATTACGAAGATTAGTTGCACACTTTAAACGAATGCTTTCTCTCTCCTTTTGTGCCAGCGAGAGTGCTGAAAGCTATGCAAGGGGGCAGTACTCATGAAGGGCCAAAAAGCCATGTCCGCTCATCGGCACACGTCACAACCTTGACCAGCTTGTAGCGTGAAACTACGCACAGGCATAAGGAGGCACATTTGTACACCACACATTGCTACTAGCAACAACGTGTTCAATTTGAAAACCATACCGCTTGTAAAACACAGCTGCCAGGCAGACAGTTGAACATGGGTAATCACCCTGAGGCATGTGGGGGAAAATTCACTCTACCTGATTGAAAACATGACTCTGTATATTACCGGTTATGCAAGCAACAAACTGGCTTAGCCAACAGTATTATCCGATAGCTTGCTGATGCACAAATCACCAAATGGATCAATAAGTTTTAACTTCCACAATCAGGCGGGTAGTTTCATCTTTATTTTGACCAACAATAACTGCATTGTGAAACAAAGGTCGGCAACCACATGCACAAATGTGAACAGTGAGAAGCTGATTGATTGATTGATTGATGTGTGGGGTTTAACGTCCCGAAACCCCCATATGATTATGAGAAATGCCATAATAGATGACGAACCTCAAGAAGCTGTCCAGGCAACAACTTATTTTATTCGCAATTGTGTTCTCTTAGTAGCTCAACCTGTTGGTTCGGCCAACATATAGTTTCTCAACATGAGGACGAAATACGATCAATAGATATGTTGGGTTTAACGTCCCAAAACCACCATATGATTATGATAGACACCGTAGTGGAGGGCTCCGGAAATTTCGACCACCAGAGGTTCTTTAACGTGCACCCAAATCTGAGCACACGGGCCTACAGCATTTCCGACTCCATTGGAAATGCAGCCGCCGCAGCCGGGATTCGATCCCGCGACCTGCGGAAGTACGATAAATGACCAACGCCATGCAGTCTAATAATTTCTTGTGACCGTTTTGTGCACCCAACCATTCCAGTTTGAGATGGATTCATCATGACACCTAGTTTCCAGAGCTTATCAGGTGCTGAAAAGACTACCCTAGTTTTATCGTTACTCTCCATCTTCTTGAGATAATGTGGCGGCAGGGGAACATAAGGGTAATGACTTGAACATTTACAAATTTTTTTTCAGTTCTTTTTCTGCCACAGGAATTAAAACATGGTCTGGATAGCCAGATTCCTTTGAATGTCACATATAATTCTGGAAGCTATGCTTCACCAGGTGAATGCATGACGTGTTCAATGCATTGCTCAGGCCTGTCATCACGATACTGCTCCTTGTTAGTTCGGAAGAATTCGAGTGAAATGGCAATAAGGCTTTTTGAGCACGAGGGTTACGCTGTCAGAAGAAAGAAGTCTTGTCCATGAACTTGTCCATGGACAAGTTCACTACGAGCCAATATGGCTTTTCAGAATCTACTTTTGTCAATGGCGCTGCCTCACACAGTGTGGCTCCGTGCCCCCGAGACGCCACATCTGCCCACGCAGTTTTGTCCGCAACCCGCTCTCACGTTAGCTTTGAAAACGACCGAGCTACTTCTGCGTAATTTAGCCCGTAGCTTAGGTAGTGTCCACACGATGCCTTAAATTCTATCAGCTTCGTCTCTACGGTTGGCACACTCAACCCCTTGACTACCGCAAGCTCCTTACCATCAGGCACCCGACAAGGTTAACCTGGAACACGCCCCAAGTAGCTCTCCAAAGGATTCTCGCATCACTGTTCCCACTCGAAAAGTCTTCCCACTTTCCTTTTTACGCTTCTATGTGGATGCGAGTTCTTTCGGGTTAACTTCTCTGGTTCAAGAACTTCTAGTTGCAGCACCGAAGTCGCATTAGGTTGGCCGCCAAACGGCACCCTATGCTTACTAAAATTCTCACTGTCTCGTTTTCCGGCATTGGCCGACCGATCGGAACCCGGGCAAGTACCTGCAGCACACGCTGCTGCCGGCTGCGGTTCATACTCAGCATCGCTGAATTCCACGCCTCTCTCGAACGATACGTCAACTGACGCAACTTTTGGGCAACAAAGGCGCAATTCACTCACGTCCCCCAGTTCTTGAGGCTCCGCCGGCCTCAGTGCCACGCACAAATGCTCGCGTTGTCGCTCAACAATCCCTTCCGCTTTTGCGCCCTCCTCGGCTATCTGCGGCTTTACCTCGGCATGCTCCTTTTCGCGGAACTCCTCGGGTGCGCCTGTATCTTTCCTGCCCGCCGCTTGCAATCCATTGCGCTGTCGCAACTGTAGCATGCCCTGGACTTGCATTTTCCTTCTGCGCCTAGGCTTTCTCCGGCACTGCGACTCTTTGCTGTCTCAATCTGACCTCTAGGTTTGCTGGCGCCTTGCGATTCCGCTGGCTTTTCATTCGCCTGTCTCGCAGCGCTGTTCGCACCCTGCGCTTCCTCAAATGTTCACAGCAACGCGAATATTTCTGGGGCGCCAATCCACGTTCCCCCTTCTTGGAGTGCCGCATACCCCACGGCCTCCTCCGACAAATTTTTATTCAATTGGTCGGCAACCAAAAGTTTGACCAGGCCCTCGAATGTCGACACCCCCCTTGCCTCAAGGTAAAAGTGGAGGTAGCTCTCTAAACGTGTCGAAAAAGGTCTTCACCCTTCGTGTGCACGCTTCTGTGACCCCAAGAATCTTCTTAAATACTCCCCTGCCGAAAGTTTGAGCTTGTGAAGCACCGTTTGCTTGATTACTTGGTAATCTTTATGTTCTGTTTGACTTAGCCGCATGGACGAAAATGGGACGCTCTCCGCTACCAACGGGAAAAACAAACGTCCCCAAAACTTCTCTGGTACCTCGTACGCTTCTAGGGCACACTTCACGGACTCAAATGACACTGGTGCTTCAGCCTCTGTTGGAAATTTGGTAATACCCCTGTGAGAACTTTCGAGTAGCGTCTCAATTCGCTACACAGATCCCGCCTGCCGAACTCAGGTCCACGTCACCGAGAGCTTCCGCGCATCATCTGCGACAGTCTCTCTATCTCCAACCGCAACTCCTGCAGTCTAGGCTCCGGCATGAGATTTCCGAAACAGTCGTCTCTCTGGCTCTTCTGCGCACTACCATCTTCCGGGTTTGCCATGTCGCCCTTGTCTCCCGAGTCACGACTCATGGCCTGCGCTCGGCTGTTTAAGTGGGCAAACTTCGTGTCCATAGGACACCTTAAAGCTCAAGAAAGGCAGTGGCACCTCTGATATGTAAGAACACCAGAGGACTCGCCACTTTTGAAGTTGCTGCTCGGTGCTCTCTTGTTTTGCCCGCCGTCCGTTCGACATCGCTCGATGTTGCCGGTGTTGTCACCGGATCGATGAATGGGGATGACTATTGCTAGACCGCTGACTTCCAGGGGTCGATGGCTGCCGCACCGCAGCCTCCTCAGCTCGGTGGCTTGCTTCTTCGTTGGAACTGCCAATGTCTTGGCATTTGGTCTTGCATGTTCTCCGCAACACGACAAACTTCTTGGTGCACAGAACGTTCCTTGTTATCGTCGTCTCGATCCTGTCGACTGCGCCAGTAAAACTCAACCTTCTACCCACTCCCTCTGTTCCCTTGAGCAGAGCTCTCTTAACTGCATGGCGGCTGTTGCTATAGGAGGGAGTGGAAGGTTGGTTGCATGCTGTCCGTCTCGTCTTGTTGTGGCTCCTGCTGCTTGTTCAGGGATGGAGACCAGCGCCTTTCGATACTCTGGTACAACAACAACTCGACGTTGCAGCAACTCGACTTTATGTGCAGGAACTTATGTACAAATTTACAAGACTCTTCACCGTTGGAACCGTCGCATGTTGCCTTGGCAGAGCCGATAGTGCAGAGCACTCTTTGCTGCGACCAGAACGATCGTGAGGAAATGGGAGCCAGGTTTTAACCCCTCGGTTGCCCATCCCAATTCTCTTCGCGGCCAACCGAAACAATTCAGCCCGTTTATTGGACAGACTAAACACATTTGTTGCCGTCCTCTCCTCTTGCTCTCTTATCCAAGCACTCGACCTCTCGGTCGGAGAGAGGGAGAGACGAAAGGACCGGCCTGCACACTTTGTTCCGCAAACTGTGCGAACACACACAATGGTGGCGCCGTTTGGCTGCGGGGCCCCTGCCATTACTGCGAGATGACTACGCTGTCCAGCGTGACAGCCGCCCCACGGACTCTAATCCTGATTGATGGATGGGTGCCGATACACCGGTTGTCCTCACGTGGCCCTCTGGCACTTCGCTGGCCGGGGACCACCTAGCTGGTTGTCAAAAGCGGCGACTGACCGCGGTCTTCTTGCCAGAATGGGCGTCCTTATGTCGGGATTATTGTCTCCCGAGAATCGGCTCTTTAGGAAGCGCGCCCTTTTGCGACAAAGAAGACTCACCCCCCTTGGCCTGCAACGCCAGACCTTACAACATATGTACGAAAAGTAATGTTTGGTTATTGCTTTAAATGTGCTGCACTGAAAAGGAGCTGCAAATGGTTCTCTGATAAAAATCTATTCTTTGCATCTCAATTCACTAGGCTAATGACATAACAGACACTAATGGATACTAAAATGTGCACATTTCATATGCCTCTAAAATATGGCATATTAATATATGTATAAACACATGCACAATAATGTGCTCTGTTCCAGTAATTGGTACGCAAAAGAATTATAAGAAATGTTTGTTTTATAGTGTAAGCATTTTGGTGTTGACGATATTTACCATCTTAGTTGTTGGTTAACCAATTATTCTGAAGCATCTCAAAAAGTAAAGAACTGCAATATTACAAAAAAGGGGGTAGGGGGACAAGTTTTAGGTGCTGACCAGCAAAGTTGGCAGCCCCACAGAAGGATGCACTGCTACTTTGAATAAATAAAACGTAAGTAATGTCCGCATTAAGCTTGAAACAAGTACTTAACAAACCCAAACATGAGCAGTTCTGCCGAGTGCAATGTAGCAACACCATAGATACTTGGCCTTTTTTTGAATTGGGTCATAATCAAGACATGCAATAAAAACAAGAAAAATAGTCAAAGCTGCAAAGAAACTATGTAAAAATTAAAGCGCCTGTCCTGTGTGTATTTTATGCTTTGTCCTTATCTTTTTTCTTGCTTTTTAGTCATGTAGCAACACCATGCTACATGCAATGAAACACACATTTGTGTGCTTACTGTGTAGTGATTCACCATTGCATTTGTCAGGCACCTACGGTTTCGGAGATGTGCATGCATAGCTAGATGTGTTACTCTGTATGTCTTGGGCCTTGCTCCTGAAATGCAGCAGCCAGCAAAGTCCTTGGTGTCAGCTTTCAATGCCGAATCCTGTATGATATACCAACTCTGGCCATCATACAAACTTGGACAATAAGTCGTGAAAGTAGGGCCTGCCGATGATGATGTGTGAGGTCGTTTATTTTTTATGATGTGTTGTATAATAACTGGTTGTGTGTGTTTTATTGAGCTATTACAGTAATGATGGTGATTTCAAAAGTTTGCCAGCAAAAAAATAGTGCACACTGATTGTGAGATGTCCATATGCAGTAGTGGACTTGAGCACAGAAATTAAGAAGGCAGTCTTTGCGAAAGAAACCTCCAGCTGCCTACTTACTGATCAATTCCAATGGCGGGGTGAATCAGGGGAAGCTTTTTTGCTCGTTTCATATCAAGGTTGTTTCAATTAAAGGGTGAAGGTGGTAGTCAATAGGAATCACCCTTTTGAGTGAGAAAACTTGCTTTGTTAAAATCAGCGAAATGGACCAGAACTCTGCACAATGCATTTACTTTTATGCGTTAACAAGTTACATACTTAGAGAGATAGACTTGGTAATATGTTCATGTGTGTTGTAGGTGTTCTGTGGCTTCACAGTGGTGTCAAATAGTTCGATTCAACATACCACATATGTTCATTTTAAACGTGGGAGCATCAGTCCATGCCACTGTAGCTCAGTTGGTAGCTAATAACTATTGCTGTAGCTTAGTTGGCACAGCATCGAACACCTTATTCGAAGGTTGCAGCTTTGGTCCTTGCTGGCGGCATGTTATCATTTTGCCACTTTTCTGTCTTTGCATTTACATTACAATCACCTCTAATAACATCCCGTGTGTTTTTCTTGGCATTATCGGCTGTTGATTTTCATTAATATTGTGTCTAAATTCACCACTGGAATTCAACGCAAGGCATGCACTGGCTAGCTGAAACGATCACTGACCTGTGCCCAGGGTTCGGTGCTCTTGTGTCTGTAGTTCTGCAATAGTTCTGAAATAAGCTTATTACTGGCACAACCTTTGTTTGTTATTCCTGGCTTTCTTTAGTACACTTGAAAAGCCGCGGCCAGGTCTGTGTAGAACACGTGAACCACCGGATTTTGCTCTGCGGGGCGAAGCCTTGGGACAGTATCAGGCTCTGACGTGGTCAGCCTGGCAACTAGCCCGTGCATGCTCCTGATACACCACTTCAGAGCCCGAAACTGCCTCAAGGTTTCGGCCCGCAGAGCAAAAACCAGCTGCTTGAGTGCTCTACACAGACGTGGCCAAGGCTGTATATAGCCCGCAGTGACTTCAATTGCAATGGGAAAGATAGCAAGGATGATTTTCTCCTGAACTTTGAAATTAGTATTAAAGTCTGAAGCTGTACACTCACTAGGAAATAACTGATTTTTAAAAAAAATTTTTCTCTTTTTTTCTCAAGAGCGACCAGAAAGTGTTGATCGGACTGTGGTTCGTGCCACCAAGCCAGGCCCGTCGGAGCATATCAGCAGGCCACGCCGTCGTTAAGATGTTTGATAAACAACACCTGAACAAGAACTGGCTCAAAGGCGACATACAGGCTTGGTCTGAGCCTCGGCTTTCTTTTGACGGAGGAGCTACCTGCCCCCGCAATTTACTTTGTAAGAAGCAAAAACACCCAAGACAAGTCTGTACAGATGCTACTAGACACTCTCTGGTCTCCTGCACATAATGTTTTACCAAGTGAACATATTTTGGTTTTAATAAAACTGCTTTTTCACATTTTGAATGTTTATGGTGCACCTAACTATGTACTGTATTTACTCATACAATTTGCACACTTTTCTGCATGGCACAAGCTAGTCCTTTAATATTGTGGAAGAGAGTGAAATATGAAGGTGAATTCATACAGTGCCCTCTACATGTAAAAACACACACGTAGGGTCGAACTGATTTAATACAGTCTTATTTCACTTTGGTCTTGTCTCGCAAAATAGGATGCATCTTGGCTCACCTGCTGCCAGCTGTTGGGACATCTGTTAAATTTGTAAACAAATGTATAGGGACACCATTTCGATGTGGCTGCAGTAAACATGAGCCTTTCGTGGTGCTGACCGTGAATGTGTTTTGGAAGTGGCGAAATGTTGTGCAGCGGCCAAAGCATAATTTCTAGAATGTAAAGCAGATTTGATCACTATTAGTGGAGAATCTTGTCGCGCTAAACTTTATTGTGACTAGAATGTATTTATTCGCGCAATTCCTAATCACTATCTCCGTATAGTGGGCAATCAAACCCACATATTCCAGATAAGCAAACAGTATTATTCTGATAGCCCCTCCAGTAGCTTCTTCACTTGCTCGTTACGTCGGTGTAATGCAGCGACACTGCTGCAGATGTGCCAGATAGTGGCAAAGTGACCTTGACTGCGCTCTCTGCCTGTTCCACTTGCCACAATGAAAAGAGAAGTGTCAGCAAAGACGCTGCTTTGAGCTGCTGTGCGTTGCCTGGTGTCATTTCAATTAAAATACTAATCTACTATGAGTGAGTGAGTATGAACTTTATTGAGGTCTGAGGAGAAAAAAAGCAGTGCCGAAGGCGGCGGCTCCACCAATGTGTGTGCCAGCAGACAGAGTCCTTCGGCGACGGCCCAGGCCATCTGGACAGCTTTGAGCTGAGCGATTAACTCTGCTCAGGTGTGCCACTGTGTGGGGAAGTGACCTTGGCAGTATTCTTTGCCTTGGCTACACACTTGTCACAGTGGAAAGGGAACTGTCGGGGTGGATGCTGTTTCGAGCTGCCGTGCGATGTGTGGTGTTCTCCAATTCTTATAATCCAGTTGTATTAATGAAGTCTAATCGGGACCTTGTAGAACTTTGAACCAAGTGATATTTGATACAAAGCGATTTTTTTATAACGAGGTTCTACTGAGTAATGATGCCAGCGTCTGATATTTGAGTGCCTTTTAGCTTGCATCTACCTATACATATCAGTCGTCATCAGCAACAAATCGGACGCTGTCTGTGAAACGAAATTACTGAATGACCAAATATGCAGATATGTAGTCTAAGCTAAGCTATCACATGGTTATGGTTACAATATTTCGCTGCTCAGTAAGAGGTTTTGGGTTAGATTCCAGTAGCAGTGGTCACGTTTCGCTGAAGGGAAAATGCAAAAATGCTCTTGTGCTTAGGTTTACTTGCTCGCTAAAGAGTCCCGGTTGCTCAAAATTAACTATGAGTCCCCCACTGGTTCGCCATTTGTGGAGTGGGCGAGGGCGCTCTTCTTACAGTTCTCTTCTGTTACTATCGAGCCCAAGTACCAAAAAAAAAAAAATAATAAAACACAGCTTGCTTCCGTGTACTCGTTTAGTGCATTGCAATTTTCACTAACATCGGTCCGGAACAAAGCCTTAGAGAGCAAGAAATGGCGCATTAGACCGAACGAACTCGATATGCTGTGAAACAAAGCTTCACTGTATGCAGACTCTCTGACGGTTTGGGAACGTGAGATCTGCTTTTCGTTTTAATTCCTAATAAGGCTACACCTTTAAGAAGAGTGGTTACCAGAATAGCGACATACCGACATAAAAACCCGGCTACAATTCGCCTGGTGTGCGACCGACAGTGGCACTGCGAATCGCACCTGTATGACATCAGAGCGAGGATTCGTGCGCTTTCGTCAGCCACGCAAGCGCGGCGCCGTGTAGACACCCACCGTTGTGGTGAACTCAACAAAAAAAGCAGTTCAGTTGGTTATCTTGTCTGTGGTGGCTACCGATGCTGTTCGAGCATCTGTGGGTCTCTGCTTTTGACGTTTATTTCAGAAGCACAGCGTTGTTGCTTGGAACTACGGCAGCTTGTCTCCACGGCGAGTGCTGCGCAATCGTGAAAACTGCTGTGTGCCTCAGTGTACTTGTTTGCTTGTGAAAAGGGCATTAGCTTTCGGAACTATCCTAAAGACCTGAAGCTCAGGAAGAACTGGATAGTCGAGCTAAGAATGGAAAAGCCCCCCACACCTTCATTGACTGTGTGCAGCAAGCACTTCGCTGAAAGTGATCTCTGCTATACCCACTGTAATGGCCACTCTTCAATAAGCTTGTAACTGTGTTCGAGTGCCTCGCCAGTAGTACTTCAGCCATTTATATTGCACGCAGCCTATAAGCACAGGCGACTTAGACAAAGCACGGTGCAGCCTGTCAGTTGCATCGGTGTGCTCGTCGGCCATCTGGGAGATTTTTTGGCCCTGTCTATTGGGCTGCAACTGAAACCACTTCATAATTGCACTATAAAACACTCGTTTCATACATTAGTTGACCCTTGTGAGGCTGTTCATTTGACAATGTCCCCGCCTGATGCAGACGGTCCGTGTACAAGAGCAGCGGATGCTGCAATGCGGTTGACAGCGGAGATGAGTTTCTGCTCTGACATCACATGCAAGAGGGCACCATTGAAAAATCTAGAGGCGATATTTGCAAAATAAATCTAAGCTTATCAACTATTGGTGTGTGAATATTCAAAAATTTTGAATAATGAATGTAATCGTGTTCATATTCACTTGGTATTTCAATAGATTAGCACATATTTCAAATACCTAATATTTATTTTTAAATACTGTTCAAATAATTGGCACTGGCAGAAGAGCCCCAAAAGGAGAACATTTTGGAACATCGAGAGAGTGCTTCTGTTTTAATTATGGGATTACCAAAGTACATGTGGCCCAACTTTTCATGGCGCTATTGATGGTGTACTGATCACTGGTGAAAGTGCTTCGGTTCAAAGCTAGTGTCACCAAAGCTTTGTGTCCTCATTTGTTATGCTCATCATTCTTGATGTTCATTTGTGAAACAGTGTTTAATTTTAAGCCTTTGCTTTTATTTAAAAGTACTTGGTAACAAAGTGCTGCCTTGAATTCTGAAGTAGTAACTGCTTTTTCAAGAAGCAGATGCAAAATTTTCCATATGCTGTCACTGGTATATAAGCTTACCTCAATTGAAATAACTGTGGCATTTCTTTGTTGACTATTAAGTTAATCCCAATGTTCTATTGTTATAGTTTGTGACCATTTGTTCTTAATAAGATATTGTCCAGTTCCAGAGCTGTATTGAAAATGGCTGCCTTACTATTTGAAAGCTACTCGAATACTATTCAATGTGTTTTTCATTTTTCTTCTTCTATATTTACTTTTTATTTGATTTCATTATAAAATTCATTATTCACACACCCCTAATTGCCAACTCTGACAATTAAGAAAGATAAATCCTTCGGTTCAATATGTGTTCATTCAACAAAAATGCATCAGCGTATACTGCAGTTGATAAGACAGCAGTATATCATCAGACTGCTATTGCTTTTGACTATGGCAAAGTTAATTAAACCGTTAGCAGACAGCTATAGAAAGTCTACGAATGGTTTCTTAAGCATATCATCTCTTGAGGCAGCAAATTGCAAGCTTCTTACAATATTATTATATTGTGATCGTATGATGAGTACTTTCCAACAGGAATGCTTTTCTTTATGCAGGAAAAAAAAGGACATAGCCAGGTTATGTATTTTATGTACTCGCATCGATGAGCCCATTCTGCATGTAAGCTTTGTTCACTTTTTGGCTTTTATTACAACGGCCGTATGGACGAACCAGCGTGTCAAGTACACCACCATTGGTTGCGAAAGACCAATATTCACGTGCGAAAATTGCGATCTCTGCTCGGCTTCTGAACTGGTCTTCCAGAATCGGCAGCTTGGTGGTCCTCCATCAGAGTTCTTCGGGAATGATCATCTCGCAAAAGGAAAAAAAAAAGTTATAGTCTTGTGCCTACAGCGGGAACGTTTCTGTGGCGACTTGGCGGATGAAATCGGGGAGCACGAGGCGGCTCACGTTCAGTGGCCTTTTTGCCTGCTGGTGAAGTGCATTCTCCGTTTTGTGGTATCTCGATCGGAAATTTCAAGTCGCTCACTAAGAAACGCGGCGTACCTTGCGCACAAGCTCCGGTGGCGGAGTGATTTTGGACTTGGCACCGCCTGGCGCCTGGTCCAAGGTGAGTTGGTGCATGCGCAGGTAGAAAAGCGCTGACTGGACGCACGAGCTAAGCAACATGGTGAGCACGGCCGACAGGGCAGTTGCGAATCCAGGTAGCGAGGGGCAGACGTCTCAAGTAGAGGGCTCCCGAGATGGCCAGCCAGGCGCAGTGGAAGACGGCTGCAGAGGGTCCAGGTCTTCTGGTGCCACAACGCGAATGTCGCGCGCCACACCTGCCGGCTCCACCACGTGGTGCAGCGTCGACGACGACGCGTTGGACAGCTGTCACCGGCTACGCTTGTACTTTGTACATGGTCCCGCGCACTTTCGGTGACACATCTCGATGTTGCACTCTAGGTACACCTCCATTTGCGACATAAACCATTTGTACAATTTGCTGTTTCCACTAGGACATACTTCCGCATTGAAAGCGCTGCACAGCCGCCGGCTTTCTACATGGGGTTCACCATATCTGACCACGAGGACGCGATTTCCGATTTTCAACCGCAGCAGCCGTTTGCCAGGGACATAGAGCGATGCAAAAACACTTCTGTACCGTGCTTAATAATCGCGCACGACGCTGTAATTTAGGACTTCCGTACATTACTGCTAATCTAAAAAACGAGCTATTGTGCGCACTTACTATTTAACTTCACTAGGAACTGCTTTTTGAAATTTTAATCCATTGTCACGCCCCGTTTTCTTATGAAGGTGCCGAAAAGTTTTGACAGCTCCAGAAAGCATAAGTTCCAGAAGGGTTGCCACTCCTCTATAACACACGGCAGACTTCCTGAAAGAGCGATGACGTAAGTTCATAGCACTATACCAATAAATTAACTTTCTAGCCACTTTCAGTCCAAAGTTTCTAGTGTTAAGATTAGAAATTATAAACTGACCCAATGTTTCGGGACCTTGTGCACAAACTGACTGAACGTCGTCTTGGCAGCAGCTACATTCGCCATGAAAGAAAACACTGCAAGGTAGTTTAGCGACACTTTATGCGATAAGGCAACATATTTACTACTCATTATTGTTTCCCAATGAAAAGGAGGTTGTCATTTGTGTTGTGAAGCTGTGGTGAACACGGTCGACGATGGAGTCATATTGTCACTTCAGCAATTCGGTTGATTGTAGAATTTGGTACAAATACAGGTGTAGTGGAGCATACGCACCAACGCGCAACATCCTTATAGGCTCCACCTCCTCTGGCCTTGCCTTCAGTTTACAGGCCCCCACCGCGCTTTTTCCGTCCATCTAATGAGTGGCGCACTCATGACAACCGTCCTATCTGCTTCGCGTGTGGCATCGCTGGCCACATTGCATGCTTCTGCCGCCGCCGTCCCACACTTGCGCACGCCTACTTGGGAACTCCTACGTACGCACCCCAGCAGGCCACCACGTCTGCAAATGAACTGAGGCACTCCGACTCGGATCGTCACCCATCTCCTCGTCGCCGATCGCCATCGCCTATGCGTCGTCGACCACCTCCTGAGGAGGAAAACTAATCAGCGCAGTTCCGTAGGCAAGAACTGCAACTTGTGCGCAATTCTCAAGGCCTCCATTTTCGCCGCAAGATGTTGTTGATGGCAATGTTGAGGGAGTCGCCAAATTAGCGGTAATTGATACTGGGGCCGCCGTTTCTGTGATGAATGCAAAATTTTGTCGGAAACTGAAGAAAGTGACCACATCTCTCTGTGGTATGGTGCTGTCCACGGCTGCGCGCAAAGCATGCATCCCTAGGCTGTGTGTACGGCGCGCGTCGTCATCCAAGACGTTTTGTACATTGTCCAATTTTTTTGTTCTACCATCTTGCTCTCATGACCTTATACTGGGTTAGGATATCTTATCACGTCATGAAGCTATCATCGATTGTTCTCGTGGGGAAGTGGCCCTTGTGCGAATATGTGAATTTCCATAGCCCGACCATTCTCCTCTGCTCTGCAAACTCATCGCCGACGACGACATCACTTTGCCTCCGGAAGCTTCAGTCGCTATTAGCCTTTCATGTGTGGCGCAACCTGACGCCATGGTGGTGTTTACGAAATCTCCGGTTTTTACTGAACGCAAGGTCATCGTTCTCCCATTTGCCGTACTTACAATTGCGTCATGTTCCACTGTAATTCTGGTTACCAAGCACTGCAACTATCCCATTGGCTTACTCCGTGGTGAAACCATAGGATATGTACAACCTGTCGACAATATCGATATTATTCTTCCCGACGAAACGCCATGTCAGATTGCCGCAATCACTCAGGCGTCTGAGCCATCAAGCTCACCAGCCTTCGACAATGCTATTGACGCAGACCTTCCCCCCTCGCATCGCAGCCAACTTGTTGCTCTCCTTAACAAGCTTCGCTCTTCTTTCGACTTTCAGAAACCTGCTTTGGGCCGCACCACGACTGTCACTCATACTATTGACACCGGCTCACATTCGCCTCTGCGACAGCGTCGTTACCGTGTTTCTGCCGAAGAGCGCCGCGTCATTACGGAGCAAGTAGATGACATGCTTAAACGTGGAGTCATACAGCCTTCTCAAAGCGCTTGGTCGTCACCCGTGGTTCTGGTAAAGAAAAAAGATGGAACCGTTCGATTTTGCGTGGACTATCGCCGCTTAAACAAGATTACAAAGAAAGACGTCTACCCGCTACCACGAATAGACGATGCTCTTGACTGTTTACAAGGCGCCGAGTACTTCACATCCTTGGATCTGCGTTCTGGGTATTGGCAGGTGCCAATGGCTGAATGTGATCGCCCTAAAACAGCCTTTGTAACGCCGGATGGCCTGTATGAGTTCAAAGTCATGCCATTTGGGCTCTGCAACGCGCCTGCGACGTTTGAACGCATGATAGATACCATATTGCGGGCCCACAAGTGGAAAACTTGCTTGTGTTACCTAGATGACATCGTAGTCTTTTCAGCTGATTTCCCGACACATCTTCGTCGTCTCCACGAGATTCTGGCGTGTCTAGCTTCTGCAGGCCTACAACTTAACACCAAGTGTGAGGGCCGGGCGGGCTAGGCATGAAGGCTGAGAGGCGTTGTGAATCGAGAAGAATGCGCTTTATTCGAACATGAAAACGTGCCGACCGCGCCGGAGGCGGGAGCGAGATTGATAAAAACGTGACCCCGGCCCTCGCTTGGGCTTGGAGTTTATCTGAGTAAAGGCGCCGCAGGTGGCGCTGCCGATTAGATAGGCCGCTACGCTATAGTGCGCATGCGGGCGCTCACATCCGGCCCCTCCTTGTCTGACCAAGTCCCATTGGTCTAGGAAAGGAGCACTACTTGGTGGCTTCACTGCGAGAGAGAATAGTCCTTCAAGCGCTCGGGTGGGCGCTTTTGGCGGTGAGGTCGCGAGGAGGGTACCGCTGGAGGCAAAACTGCAGGGCCAAGGGAAACTGGTGGTTGAGATAACTCATTGCCAACACTGGGAGAGCCAGATAAGTCACACAAAGGCCACTCTTGGGTTTTCACAATGTAAGGCTCGACATAAGGTGGCACGTAGTGCTTGAGTTGAGAGACGTGCACTATCCTGTCTTGGAGTCGATCACGAGGACCTTGACCAGTTACGCGGCTAACGACAAACGTAACGGGTGTTTTCTGGTTGGTGATTTGGTATATTCCCTTGAATTTGGGTGCCAACTTTCCAGTTCCATCTGCTACAGGCTCTTGGCGGCGCACCCAGACGAACTGGCCGACTTGGAAGGAGTGGTCTCGATGGGACTGATCATATGCTGTCTTCCGTTTCCCTTGTGCTTCCTCGGTATTACTTGCTGCTACGGCCCGGTTCTGAGACAGCATTAGGAGACGGTCTTGTAGGGTCCTGGCTGTGGCGGGACGATGGCGTTGATATGGGAGCTTGGGGACGTATCCATACAGTAGTTCAAATGGAGAGAAACAGCTGCTGGCGCTATAGCTTGTGTTGATGGCAAAAGCAGCTTCTTCGAGTTTGCTTGCCCAGGAGGTCTGGTCCGTTGGACACAGCTTACGAAGAACGGAGACTAAAGTCCCATTGCTTCTCTCTACAAGACCATTGCTGGCTGCGCGGTATGCCACTGAATAATGAATCTCAGCACCGTGCATGTGCATGAAGTGCTTAAACTGGTGAGATTCAAAGGCTGCTCCATGGTCAGACATGCAGTCATCAGGACAACCAAAGCGGAAGAACACCGACTGTAAATGTGCTATAACTTCCTTAGCTGATGTTGAAGTTACAGCCGCTGGGACAATGAAACGCGTGGCAAAGTCAATGACATTCAAAATGTACTTCTTTCCTGAAGCAGCCGGCATTGTGATGTGATCAATGGCAATTAAGGCAAAAGGAACATCCGACACTGGCATGAGACCCATTTTGCCAACACTTTTAGATATTGGGCGGTTGTTGCTTTGGCAGATCTGGCATGCTGTGACGTAGTGGGTCACTGAAGACGTAAGGTTTGGCCACCAGTAACGTTCTCTCACTTTGGTCAGTGTCCGGGTTACATCCATGTGGCCTCCACCGTCATGAACAACCTCCAGGACAGCCTGGCGCATCTTTGCTGGCACTACAATAGCTTGAGAACCTGAAGTCGCGTCACTATGGTACAGGATGTCATCAATTATGGCAAGGTCATGGTCCCACGATTCTGAAGATGACAGAGAGCGACGAAGGTCCTGGCACTCTTTGTCTTCTGCTTGCATAGCTGCGAGAGACTGTGTCTGATGGAGGACTGCTGCAGATAATCGTGACAGCATGTCAGCAACCACGTTTTGACGGCCTGGATGGTGCTGCACAGTGAAGTCGAACTCTGTAAGATCCATCAACATGGTCGTAAAACGACGTGAAGGCCTGATGTTGGCTGTTAAGCATGCAACGGTCCAGTTGTCAGTCAACAGGCAAAATTTCTTGCCGAGCAAGTAGTGTCGGAACTTGATCGTAACCGCCCAGTGGACACCAATACACTCCCAAACGTTGCTATGCAACTTCTTCTCTGCGGCCGTGAGTGCACGACTCGCATATTCGATCACAGTTTCTTTTCCACACTGTTTCTGAGAGAGCACAGCACCAATTGCGGTTCCTGAGGCATCTGTTGTGACTGTGGTTTGGGCGTCTGGATCAAAATGACCCAGTACAGGTGCCTCTGTTAATGCTGTGCGAATTCGCTGAAAGGCTTCATTGCAGTCGCTGGTCCAGGCAAACTCCTCAGACCGTATGAGACTCTGCAACGGTGCTGCTATCCGAGAGAAATTCCTCACAAATCGGCGATAGAAGCTTGCTGTCTGGAGCCATGACAAAACTGCTTTGCTGTTTGCAGGCTGTGGGATTTTCATGATGGCTTCGACTTTGGCAGGGT